TTTTTCATCGACTAGCCAATTTTAAAAAGCTTAAATTATATACTAGAAATAACGAGATATACTTGAGAAATGTTGAAGAAAGATAAAAAAGAGATTGGAATGAAGTCTAAAGGGATGTAAGGAATAAAAATGATCTTGGGCCATCTTGGAGTAGAAAGCAAAAACTAATTATCTTCTATCTCTTGTTGTATAACTTACAGATAAGTTTATTTAAAAATGTAATAGCTCAATACATAAAAATATTGGAAAATTCCAAAGAAAAGTAAATAAATTTATTTGGAACCCCAATATTATTGTCATCTGATGATGCTTTTCTTTCATTTTGAATGTTGGGAAAGGAGAGCACTAAAAGCAGAATCATGCATATAAATGCACCCAATAGTAGCTCTGTACCCACATTTACCTTGTTAAGGAACTTAATAAAATCATGTTTTGGGTCCTCACCACCCTTCTCTTCAAACTTAATATGATCAATCAAATGCTTCAACTCATAGGTTACAGCAAAGCCAGCTTCAACACCGGTGAGCACTAGAAAGCTAAGAGCCTGTCCACTTAGAAATCAAATTCCAGTCAGCATTTGTTCATCCTCTTCTCCCTTTTCAAATTGTAGATAGCAAACGGTATCTGCAACAGCGCATACACTGCTGCAATAATAGCAGTATAGAACACGTACTTGCAGTTTAACATCTCAGCGTATCACTGCTATAAATTTGACTTGGGTATCATTTTATTGAATTAGAATAATTTAAATTAAGTTGGTGTTACCTGTAGGTGGCAACCTTGAAGTTAACATTGTATTGCCTGAATTCAATGTTATTTTTGACTAGAAGCAGAAAGGATGTAACTGCAAAGAACAAAGTGAAGGTCCTCAATGCGAGGGTTGAAGTCGCTACTGGTTCGGATCCCGTTTGCACGAACTTTTACATCTTCCTACTCTGATTCCTCCTTTTTGTCTCTTATAAATGCATGGGATTTCTTGGTTGTATCAACTACTTTGGACTGCGCTTTTGTCATTTGGCTATTGTACAATATTACTAATAAGCTACCGGCCCTGGCTTCACAATATTATTTATTATTATTATTATTATTGGATTAGCAGGCTTCACAGTGTTTTATCCACTGATCTCTAGTTTAGATTAGAGGTTCCAAAACCTTTCCTAGGGGTTCTGGAACCCCGTTGCTTTTTGCATTCTTTTTCATGCCTGAGGTTCTGGAACCTTAGGCAAGGTTCTGGAACTAATTTCATTTTTTGGTTTTTCATGGTTTCTTCGAGCAATGCAAGGCATCTTCTCATCAACAGGAGAGTGGAGAGGCCTATGTTACTCCTCCATCTCCCTTATACTAAGTGTAACCCAATTAAGGGAAATGAGAGACCTCTCTCTCAATATCCTTCCCCTCCCTTTCATTTTTTCCAAAACAAACACACTGGGAATACCCCTAAACAGTGTGAACTACCATCCCTCTGTTTATATGACAATTATGACCAAAAAGAGAGTTTTGTTCGCTATAACTGCTACTAGGTCATACTCAACTCTCTAAACACATTGCCGAATTTAAAAAGCATAATAGAGAAAAGAAGAGAAAAAGAGATAGACATGGGGTACAGTGAGTGCATGTAATGGGTTGGAATACTTTCCTTGTTCTGAATTAGTAAAGTTTTTTGGCCGTCCGGGCAAAAAGAATGGAATATACTTGAGAAATCATGAAGAAAGATCAAATTAAGAAGCAATTGGATAAAAGTCTAAAGCGATATAATGAATAAAACTTTTCTTACCCTATTCTTATTCCTTGCATCACATGAATATCAATTTTCATCAACGACAGTCGCCCACCGCCCACACACATGTTTGATAGCAAACATGAATCTTGTGTTCAAACCATAGAATAGAAAGGAAATACGTTACTATTTCAGCCGCCCACCACCCACACATAGTACAAATGACAAAAGGCACGTCGTCAGTTCAGCAAACGAGGAAGAGTTTGAATTAGAAGAAAGAGGCGCTGAAGCGGGACAATTTGAAAAAGCTGAAGGAAGTTCCCAATGCCGGTTAAAAGAATGGGAAACTGCAGAAGAAGTAGCTGACAGCATTGACGAAGGAACAGTGAATGAAGTTCAAGATGGACTAGATGAGAAAGGTAGGGAAAAAGAAGCTAGTACAGACAACCAAACTAGCTCAAACCCCATCCAAGTATCGGGGGATGAGTTATGGGTTGAGCAAGCTGCACAAACAAAAGGAAATATGGGCCATAAACAGAATGTTGTAAAGGGCTTGGTAGAGAGGCAATGGGCCTGCAACAAAATGGGAACAATAGAACGGAGGGGGCCCATTCCACTAAACAAAAACGCAAAAAAGAAAGGGAGCATAATAAATATGAAAGCTCTGGAAGATGTCCGAAGAACCCATAGCAGCTCGTTGAGGGCAGACAAGGGGATCGAAGACAGCAACGGGATGGAAGGGTCGAACAAAGTAGGAGATTCTGCTCAGCGGGTGCGTGAAGATGAAGGAATGCAGCTGCAGATCTCAAAGCAAGCACAGGAAGTGGGGAATTCTGCTCAGGTGGAGCACATAGAAGAGGAAGTGCAGCTGTAGATTTCAAAGAAGAAGGGACCAAGGGGGCTAAGGAGGTAATCTCGGTAGAGAAAGAGTGGGATTCGGTTCAGTGGGAGCACGAACATGAAGAAGGGCAGTTGCAGATCTCGAAGCAAAAAGGATTGAAGGGGGCAAAGGCAGGATTTTTCGAAGAGCCAAAGGGGAACCCTGTCCAGGTTCTAGTCAACAAGAACAGAAAGAAGAAGACAAAGTCATGCCGCTCGGTGTATCTCAAAGCACAGCTGTCAGGGGTGATGATCCGAAACAACAAGGGCAGAGGGAGATCCAAGGAGAGCAAGCCAGGAACAGTGGGTTTTCCAGAATTTCTGTCAAATGGAAGTGACTCAGTGGCGGGAGACTCAGTTGGGGATAGCGGGATTGAGAATTGCAACCGAATCTTGAAAGAGGAACAAAGAAGGAAAACAGCAGAAGATCTATGGAATTTTGCCAAAAGAATTGGGATGGTTGCAGAGGATGAGGTAGGTGTAATTCAGGATTTAGAGGAGATGGAGAAAAGAGACAAAAAAGAAAAAGAAGCGGAAGGCTCCAAGGGAGGGAGCAAGCATAAGAAGGTTAGTGTTGTTGCCTCATGAATTTGATGTCTTATAATATTAGAGGGCTAGGAGTTGTCGGGAAGAAAAGGCACTTGAAGGAATTAATAAATAAAGAAAAAGTGGTTTTTTTAGCAGTACAAGAAACTAAGATGGAAGGGATAGATAGAAGTACTTGTAGAATGATATGGGGATTAGATGATTTAGAATGGGTTGCCAGGGATGCAGAGGGTTTGTCTGGAGGAATGCTGTGTATTTGGAATTCTAAAAAATTTAAAATGGGTAGAGTCTTGGAGGGGACGGACTTCATAGGAGTTGAAGGGGTCTGGGGTGTTGAATAGTTTCCAGTTAGTATTATTAATGTCTACTCCCCATGTCAACTGGGGAAAAAGAGAATTCTATGGGAGGAGCTAAAAGCTCTAGTAGTAGGGAGAGGTGGGAATTGGTGTATTATGGG